TCAGAACACGACGGGGAACTAATATCGGAAGGACTGAAAACAGAATCGCACCCTGGGAAAAAAGACTGCTGAGGAAAATTGAATTATTGCGCAGGGATATTGGGCAAATTACGGAATACATCCGAGGAGTAAGAAGTCAAAAACTAATTAAAAGAGCTGAAGAAATTATTCTGAACACTTCAAGACACTCACAACATGATTCAGAAAACAACACAGCTCAACACTGCCTAGACACATTAAAACAAAAACTCTCCGTTTATTCAGGTCGCTTAAGGAGATACAAAGTTAGTAACAACCGTAAATGCGACAATATACTTTTTGAGAATTCAGAGAAGGCTTTCTATAGAAAACTAAATTCCACTGTAGAAAATTTAAATAAATCCTACCCAAGCCAAGAAGAAATTCATGAGTTTTGGGGAAATCAACTTTCGACGCCAGCTACCCATAACAACAATGCTGGATGGATTGAAGACACGGAGAACAATTGTCAACACTATAGGGATATTCCTTATGAACCTTTTACCACTGAAGAAGTCTTGAACATCATCAAAGAGCTTCATAACTGGAAATCTCCTGGACCAGACGGAGTTCAAAACTTCTGGTTAAAGAAGTTTTGGAGTGTTCATGAACTTTTAACAGTATTTATTAATAATATTATTTCTAATTTGCAGGAAATACCATCATTTCTTACTCAGGGAACCACTTATCTAATACCGAAGGATCAAAATAACACCCAAGATCCAGCCAAGTACCGCCCAATTACTTGTCTTCCAACTTTGTACAAATTGGTCACATCCTGTGTGGCCCGGCGTATCTACCAACACTGTGCTCTGAACAATATCATAGAGCCCCAACAGAAAGGATGCGCTAAGGGCTCCATGGGATGTAAAGAACAACTTATTATCGACTCAGTCATTTCTAACCAGGCATACACCAAAAAACGAAACCTGTTTACTGCCTTCATTGACTACAAGAAGGCTTTTGACTCAGTGCCGCATGAATGGCTTATAGATATATTGAAAATATATAAAGTCGATGATAATCTCGTGACCTTTTTGAAGCATATAATGACAAAGTGGAAGACTAAAATTCACCTTCAAATACCTGGTGAAACCAATATCGAAACTGAAGATATCGCTATTAACCGGGGCCTTTTCCAGGGGGACTCGTTGAGTCCACTTTGGTTCTGCCTAGCGATGAACCCACTATCTCAGCTGCTGAACTCCACTGACTCAGGATTTAGCATCAAAAATAACAACACTGTTGTGGCGAAGCTTAATCATCTGTTGTATATGGATGATTTGAAACTAATGGCTTCCACTCGAAATCACTTAGATCAGATGCTAAAAACTGTAGAAACTTTCTCAAATGATATCAGTATGCACTTTGGACTAGACAAGTGCCGTATACTTAATATAGTCAGAGGAAAGGTTCAGCCCGGAGGTTTCGATATGCAAGATGGCCAAAACATCGAGGCAATGGGTGAAAATGATATTTACAAATATCTCGGAGTAAAACAGGCGCGGAAAATTGACCATAAACAGATGAAAACTGAACTAACTTCGGAGTTCGTGCGAAGAATAAGACAACTAAATCGGTCATATCTTAATAGTAAAAATTTGTTTAAGGCATTAAGTACGTACGCCTGTTCCGCGCTGAGCTACTCATTTGGTATTATAAAGTGGTCAAAAACGGATATAGAGGGTCTTCAGCGGAAAGTAAGAACACTTCTCACAAAGGCGCAAAAACATCATCCACGCAGTGCAGTAGAGAGAACAACATTACCTAGGTATCAAGGAGGAAGAGGACTTATGGATATAGGTGAGCAATTAGATAAACAAATTGCTAATTTAAGATCTTATTTTCAGGTACAGGCGGAGACATCTACTTTACATCGAGCAATTTGCGCAGTAGATGACACAACGCCGCTTAAACTGAGGGAACAAGAAATGCGCACAAACCATCTGACTAAGCAAGAAAAAATGCGCACCTGGATGAGTAAACCTCTGCATGGGCGACATCTCAATGAGATCAACCAAGAATATGTCGACAATACAGCGTCGAACTATTGGTTGACATCAGGAAAGATGTTTCCCGAGACTGAGGGTTTCCTACTTGCCATTCAGGATCAGGTTATTCCAACTAAAAATTACCTGAAATATATTGTTAAAGATCCTCAAGTCCAAAACGACAAATGCCGATATGGATGCCAAGCCCAAGAAACCATCCAACATCTTACCGGTGGCTGCCAGGCATTTGTCGGTACTGATTATAAAGAACGGCATGACTCAGTAGGAAAGATTATCCACCAAGAACTAGCTGACAAACTGGGACTTCTCCAAACCGACCATCTTCCTTATTATCAATATGTCCCTGACAGAATGCTTGAAAATGACAACTACAAGCTATACTGGGACCGCACTGTGCTCACAGACCAACCAGTGGCCCATAATAGACCGGATCTCATACTAGTGAATAAAATTACCAGGCAAACAACACTTATTGATGTGGCGATACCTAACACTAACAATTTGCTTGTTAAATACAACGAAAAGATCGCCAAGTATAGGGATCTGGAAATACAAATCAAGAGACAATGGAGAATGGAAAGTACCCAGACAGTACCTATTGTTCTATCTACTACTGGTGTTATTCCCAAGAACCTCCTAGTGAACATAAAACAGCTGGGTCTAAATGAACATCTTTATAAGGCCATGCAGAAAGCTGTACTCCTCGCGACCTCCAGATGTGTACGAAAATTTCTGGGAGATACTCCGACATACCAAGTCACCTAGGGCTCGATAACACGGAAAGAGTCCCACCAGAGCTCAATCCTTTTGATACCGTAGGTATCTGGGATGAGTGAATTTTCCCCTTAGAGGGAGTGTGAGCCGTATGGCTAAATCTGGGATAATAATAATAATAATAATAATAATAATGGCGTTTCCAACTAAAAATTACCTGAAATATATTGTTAAAGATCCTCAAGTCCAAAATGACAAATGCCGATATGGATGCCAAGCCCAAGAAACCATCCAACATCTTACCGGTGGCTGCCAGGCATTTGTCGGTACTGATTATAAAGAACGCCATGACTCAGTAGGAAAGATTATTCACCAAGAACTAGCTGACAAACTGGGACTTCTCCATACTGACCATCTTCCTTATTATCAATACGCTCCTGATAGAATGCTTGAAAATGACAACTACAAGCTATACTGGGACCGCACTGTGCTTACAGACCAACCAGTGGCCCATAATAGACCGGATCTCATACTAGTTAATAAACTTACTAGACAAACAACACTTATTGATGTGGCGATACCCAACACCAATAATTTAGTTGTTAAATACAACGAAAAGATCGCCAAGTACAGAGATCTAGAAATACAAATCAGGAGACAATGGAGAATGGAAAGTACCCAGACACTACCTATTGTTCTATCTACTACTGGTGTTATTCCCAAAAACCTCCTAGCGAACATAAAACAGCTGGGTCTAAATGAACATCTTTATAAGGCCATGCAGAAAGCTGTACTCCTCGCGACGTCCAGATGTGTACGAAAATTTCTGGGAGATACTCCAACATACCAAGTCACCTAGGGCTCGATAACATGGAAAGAGTCCCACCAGAGCTCAATCCTTTTGATACCGTAGGTATCTGGGATGAGTGAATTTTCCCCTTAGAGGGAGTGTGAGCCGTATGGCTAAATCTGGGATAATAATAATAATAATGGCGTTTATTGTCCAACAGAATCCATTTATAGGACAAAATACAATACTAAAATTAAATGAAATATTAATAATTCATAGGTACTAACTAAATAACATATTTTTCGAGTATTTAACATAAAGAAACTACTTAATCACCTAGGTAGATCTCAGCCATTCTAGTAAGCTGCTTTAAACTGCAGTGAAATATATCGCAGTAAGCACTTAAGGAATTATAATAGTTGCACATGAGAAATAGAGGAGAATTTAACATAAGATTAGTTCTAGCTTGTGTATTTCTGAACGTAATCGAATTTCTCACTGGATAAGATGGAACGTTAAAATATATTTGTCGAAGAATATCAGGGCAGTCAATGAGATTATGTAGTAGCTTGTACAGAAATATTAAGGAGGCATTAGTTCGTCTAGATTTTAATGAGACTACGTCCAAATCCCTACACAACTCGCTATTGCTGATGCCCCTCCTGGGATATATGCCGTTAATTTTGAAATACAAAAATTTTAAAAGTTTACGCTGCACGTGCTCTATAATTTGGATGTGTACATCATAAAAAGGTGACCAAATGACAGAAGCATATTCCAGTTTACAGCGTACAAAAGTGTAATAAAGTAATTTAATTGCCTTAGTATTAGTGAGATTTCGACTATTTCTAATTATGAATCCATAAGATTTAAGTGCTTCTTTAACCTTTAAATTAACGTGTTCAATAAAGGTGAGTTTATAATCAAATGTAACTCCAAGGTCTTTAATTTTATTCAAACGTTCAAGTTCATTGCCATCGATAATATAAGGATGGTATATATTAGACTGTTTCCTAGAATAACTAACTACTTTGCACTTATTGGCATTAAGATTCAAATGATTTGCATTACACCATTCATGTACACGATTCAGTTCACTTTGCAAAAAATGACAATCATTAAGGTCGCTTATCAATGAATAAATCTTTAAATGTGAGAATGAAAAAGAAAATGACCGAATAATAGACAATAATGATAAAATAAATATGCCTATCACATACCAAGAGTTTGGCTTTGCAAAAATCAAAAAATACTTTTCCAGGACCTGATAATATTCCAATTATTTTTATAAAAAACCTCCCACTCTCAGGTAAACTAATCCATCTAGATATATTTAATCAGATTTTCATTAAAAAAACCTTTACTATAATCTGGTGTCAATCTATAATAATCCCCATTTTAATACCATATAAAACAAAAACTGACCCCTCTTACAAGGAAACTTTCTAGCCTTTGTTAAAAATTTTATGAGTAACAGAACATTTCAAGTTCGTGTTAATGGCATCAATTTAAAGACTAAGCGCTTACAAAATGGATATCCACAAGGTTCCACTCTAAGCCCTACACTTTTCTTATTAGCTATTAATAATATTGCACAAGAGTTACCATTAAAAGCAAACTTGTATGCTGACGATCTAATAGTTTACACTAGAAGTAGTAATATCTCTCTTGCGAAAAAAATCCTCCAGGCAGTGCTTCACAAACTGGAAATATGGTCCCACAAAAGTGGTTTTACCTTTTCAAGTAAAAAGACCTATTTTATTATCTTACGTAAAAATAGAACCAATAGCAAACCTACCCTAATTCTAAATGATATTAACATAAAACAAGTAGGTTCAACAGACTTTCTAGGAATGAGATTCGACAGTCATTTGAAATGATTCGAGGAATCGACAAAAATAAACCTCCTTAAAATACTTTCTAACAGAAATTGGGGTGCTGATACAACTGCTCTGCTATATTTATATAAATCACTTATCCGTAGTCAATTACATTACGGTGCAATGTGCTATTCTACTGCTAGTAAAAAAATTTTTAAAGTCTTAAACGTTATCCAAAGTGCATCTTTGAGATTTGTGCTGGGTTCCTTCCATACTAGTCTGTTGGCAAGTTTTTAAGCTGCACTAAATGGTCCACATTTGTTTATAAGAAGACAATTTACCACACTAAGATATGCTGTTAAACTATATAGCAATATTAACAACCCTAACTACCTACTCCTACATACAAATAACATCCCTCACAAAAGTAACACACAATCAAGATATTTAACCTTTAAAGAACTTGTAATGAATTGTGGATATAATACCAATTTGTTGACATACTCGCTATCTACATACCCAACTGAACCCCCCTGGACAATTAATACTCCTACTATTAATACATCTCTAGTAGCTTACCCAAAGAATACCACAAATCTTACCCTCGTTCGTACATTATATAAAGAAATTCTATCAAAATATGACAATTATGTTAAGATTTTTACCGACATCTTAAAACACCGGCATCAAAAACCAAAAATGGCTGTGCCGCAGCCTTTTTAACAGATGATATCGAATATGCTATACGAATACATACTTTTTGCAGCGTATTTACTGGTGAAGCTATTGCAATTTTAAAAGCACTTGAATTTTGTCAAACATATACAGATACTAATCTTCTGTTTATCTCAGATTCATTATCAGTACTCCAAAGCATCAAATAAGTCTATCCAACACATAAAATCATCCAAAGCATTAAATCTGTGCTTCATTACTTACAAAACAAAATTGTAAACATTCACTTCCTTTGGATACCATCACATATAGGTATTTCAGGTAATGAAATTATTTACGGCTTAGCGATTAAACCTCAATGAATCAAACGATATTATCAAACAAATTCCAGTCACAGATATCTACCTTAATATCAAACAATACTGTAAGTACAGAAGTTTGGCAGCGATGCTGGGATTCAAATAACTCAAATTTTAAAGTAATTAAACCCTCTATCGTTGTCCGGCTCCAACTTCCAGAAAAAAGAAGAGAACAGGTGCAGGTGGTTATAAATCGCCTAAGAATTGATCATACAACATTAACCCATCAACACTTATTAACGAAGCAGCTACCACCAGAATGCTCATACTGTAGATACCAAAAAACAGTCCAACACATACTTACAGACTGTCCACTTTACTCATATAAATGAAGCACTAACAACATCTCTGAAGAACGAGGTCAACTTAAAAACATACTAAACTGTAACTCATCCAATACGATCAAATATTTTAAGGCAGTAACCTATTTCATAAAATGTAATTTTTCTTTTAGTTCATAAATTTTTGTTACCTTACCTTATAATATGTACACTACTATAATATTATAATAAATATCCGCTAATAACCTTTTACAGTTGATGCGGCTATTTGTAATTAAAAAAAATTCAACATTTCAACAACATTCAAAACAACAAACACAAAGAACAAAAACAGCAAGAACGAACAAAGAATTTATTTATAAAATACCTTGTGAATACGATCAGTTTTATTTAGGTAAAACATCAAGGGCATTAAATACTAGAGTTAGTAAACATCATTCTTATATTAAAAATAGAGAATTTAATAGATCTCAAATATGTAAACACGCATCGAAAAATGAACATAGGGTTCAATGGAAAGATTCAGTGGGATTTGGTTACCTATATCAAAAGAGGTAGGTAATAAAAGGAAAATACCGCTATTAGTAAGTCAATAACAAACATGGGATACATTATTAATGTTTTCTAAACAACATACACATAAAATCGGAATTTGGTGTTTATTGAGAGTAAACTAAATGTAAGACCATGTATGAACATGTTGGATGGAATAGTATTATCAGGTTTTTTTTCTTGGTTTTTTCCTCGTGATTTACTATGAAATCACCAACAGGAGAATTTTTCGAATGAACTTTCTTACAAGTAAAGTCGTCCCAGGAACGCAACTCAACAATATTGGCAATATCATTTTAAAGTAGTCTACTTTAAAATGTATAATGTATGTCTAAAGTGTCAATATAAATGAGTCAGATAAAATTAAATTATTAGAAGAATTTTTCACCAAGTAACAAAAAAACAAAATTTGTTTAAATTACTAATGTTTGTATTTTGAGAACGATTTCCAAAGTGGTAATTAAAACGTCAATAAACTTACTTTAACCTTTAATTGTGGCTTATTCTCATTTAAATAGTTACTACATAGATAAAAATACATTCTTTTTTATAAGTTTATTATATAAGTTTTATAAATCTTTTTTTGTTGGCCTGTGTAATTGATACAGCTCTCTCTACATATCTCTTTGACAACAGATGATCATACCGTTATTTATAATTGTGATTTTAATGCGTGATGGATAATGGTCCATCCAAAGCGACTAAATGAAGTTGCTCATGCTTAAATATCAAATTTATAATAATTTTCAAATTAATCAAATGTTTGATAAAATTGACACAATTATATTATTAAGAGGGCATATTCATCACCATTATTATGGCTTTACAACTCTGCGTGGGTCCTAGCCTCCCCAAGAATTTCTCTCCAGTCGTCCCTATCCATCGCCTTTCTTCACAAAGCACATATTCTCATATTTCTCATGTCTTCATCGATATTATCAAGGAACTTTGTTCTGGGTCTTCCTCTTCTTCTCTGACCAATAGGTCTATCAAGAACCGTTTTTCTAGCTGGTTTATTTTGTTCCATCTGCAGTTCATGTCCTATCCACCTCAGACGTCCTTCTTAATAGGTTTTACAATATCAGGTTCCTGGTACATTTTATAAAGTTTGAACTTATATCCTTTTCTCCACCTTCCATTGTCATTCACTGCTCTATAGATTTACCTTAGTACTTCTCTTTTGAAACATCCTAACATGTTTTCATTATTTTTTGTTAGTGTTCAGGTCTCTAAACCATATGTTAGGACTGGGCGTATTTGTTTTGTAGAGTTTTATTTTTGTATTTTACAATATGATTGTGGAAAAAAGGGAGAGATTGAGCCCAAAATAGCATCTGTTGGCCGTGCAAATTCTGCAGTTCGAGTGATCGTGGGATTTGTGGTTGCGTGCTTATTTTCATATCCTTTGTTTTGTTGGTGTTTAGTATTAAACCAATTTTTGTAACTGATTCTTTTAATGCTACATATGCCTCTCGTACAGCGTTTTCCGTTCTCCCAACAATATTGATATCATCAGCATAGGCCAGGATTTGCACTGATTTATTATATTGAACCAGTGGCTGTGATTTATGACATACGTATCACTTTTTCCAGAGCCAGATTGAACACTATACAGGAGAGATGATGACCCTAGCGCAGCCCATTATTTGTTTTAAAAGGTTCAGACAGTGCCCTCTGAATTCGTACTCTACAGTCAATTTTATCCATTGTTAGTTTTGTTAAATTTACCACCAACTGATTTGGTATTCCTATCTCTTTAATTGCTTTAAAAATTTTTCTTCTATTCACAGAGTCGCAGGCTGCTTTGTAGTCTATAAATATGTGATGAGTATCAATGTCTTATTCCAGTGTTTTTTCCAAAATTTGTTTCAGGGTTGCAATCTGATGAATTATAGATTTATCACCTCTAAAACGAGACTGGTATTTTCTTACTATCCGTTCTGCATATGGTGTCAGACGGTTATATAGTATTATAGAAAATATTTTATACACTGCATTTAGAAGCGTAATTCCTCTGTGGTTAGAGCATTCAAAGATATCTCTTTTTTGTGTATGAAGGGATTTCTGTATCCATACATCTTTTATAAGCTGCTGTAATGCCATAATGGTATCATGGCCACCTTCTTTTTATAGTTCAGCTGGGAGATTATCTATTCTGGATGACTTGTTTCTGGCTAGTTTTTTAACGGCATCTTTAACTTCAATAATCATTGATGGTTTCTCTTCCCCCTTGTCTGCTCCCCTTACCTCATCTCTTTTGTCTTGCAGGTTTTCTTCTTCTTTCTCCACATTAAGTGCCTGGTTAAAGATCTATCCATCCATCTACCCATCTAGTCAAGACATATTTCCTTGTTGTTAATAGGTCGCCTTCTGGATTGTCTTGAGGTTACCTTAATTTTTTTTTCTGTTGATATTAACTTTCTTATAGAATGCTCTGAATAATTTCTCTCTAAAATTTAATGAAGTTACAACTCTTTTTAATCTCTGTTTTAAAAATATTTTTTCTCTTGTATGTTAACGCTACTTGGATGACTGCTTTGGCTAACTTTTTTTATTTTGTTATAGTGTAAACATTTTTTGTATAAATTTTCTTCACTGACTTTAGAATTTAATTGTGTGTGTAATCGCATTTTTTATATTGGTTATGTGTTTCTTATTTACATATTTATAAATTATTAATTTGTTATAGTTGGAAGAACAGTTCAATCGACAGCCATATCATCTGGAGGATGCACAGAAGCACTTTCTGTGAAAAAATCCGCAGAAATTGCAGCTCTGTTCTCCGATATCAAACTCAGCCAAACCACAGACATAGCCCATCTTAATCCGAAGAACTTCGACACAGCATCAATAGTGTCCTCAAAAAATTCGTACAACAAAATGTACTCCCACTCAAAACACTCAAAATCGTCAAAATCGTCCCAAAATGGAAGCACGAAATCCTATACTCATTACTCCCATCTGCAAAAGAATCAAAGTGCTCTGTATTCGCTAAAGGGCACGACGAATTCTTCTAGAGGTATTAACTCTGTCAGAAATGGCTCCACCAAAAACAATAAGGCAAGTATGTACAGCGCAAAAAACGGTTTGTATACTATTCAAAGTCAGTCTGATGAATCCAGGAGATCGAGTTCCTGTGAAGGTAGGAAATTAGAAAATAGAGATTACTTTAATCTAAAACAGGAAATGGAGAGGAATATGAGAAATGTTAGCAGCAACATTGAAAATTCTTTAGGATATTTACCATAATTATAATCAATATTATTGTCGAATTGCTAATCTTTTTATTTCTGAAACATTAAACTAAAATCAAACAAATTATAAATTCGAATTGATTTTTGTTATGTTGTAAACGAATATTTACTTTTTTGGTGTTTTTAGACTAGTATATTTTACATAATGTATTATCGAGTGTTTTAAATAATTATTTAAAGGCACATATTTATTTCCGCCTCCGGATCTCTTATACAAATTCAATACTTCCATGTGCTGGCGTTTGAATGGTCTAGTCATTAGGTCAAGAAGAATGTATTCTCATTCCAAGTCTTTAGAAACTAATAAGTGCTCAGGGTTTTGTATTTTAACACAGCCCCATCTTTACTTTTCTGATATACTTACGATATGTATTCAATCACAATCAGCAACAGAAATATATTTTTAACAATACAAGGGGCAATATATCAATGATAGGTTGTATAGTTATAAATAGAATTATACACTATAAACAAGTATGATATGTGCAATATTTAACTTCAACTAACATAGACATTAATCATAATGTTGGTAGAGGATATGAAGCACTGCACTGAGAAAAGGTAAAAAATTTAAAACTTGAATATTAATAAAATTGAGTCCAATTATTATTATTCGGCAGTTTTTTCTAGTCGCTGATCATGAATGTGACACCGGCAAGAGCGTCCGATGTACCTGTTGCCCGTTAAGGGTGTATCACCGCCTTACTCTGGAGTTTTATGAAAATTCTTTAAATAATTAATAATTAACACTTGTTACATGTGTGTTTTCGAGGTCGGTGAACACAAATATCGTAACAAATATATTCTCCGAGATAACGGGTGATATCAAATTGTTTTTTAGTTATTTATTAAGTAAAAAAATATATCAATATAAAAATAATGTTTAAAAAATAACTATAAAACTACAAAACAATAATCTGTTTTTTAAGTCCCTTCTTCGTTATCTTCTTTTTCTCTTGCTTCCATTTCACCTGAACTCTTTTGTTTATACGTCCCATTAGTAGTGTAATCTAAGCCTGCACAATTTTTCCCAGCTAAATTGCAGAATAATCCATACTTTTTACATATTCATGAGTTACCACGATCTGTTTTGTAAATACAAAATATTAAAATTATAGTATTTGGAGGATTGGGTGGCTGGGTCATTCTTATTAAATCTAAATAATGATTTTTTCTCTCCCCAATGGGTTAGGTTAATATCTTAGCGGGCACCAAGTACTCTGAAGATTGACTGACTATTGAAACCTCAGTAAGAAAAACCACATTTAAATCGATCTTACTTTGGAAAAGGAATTGGAGTATAATCAATATTCATGCACCGTCAGAAGACAAGGAAGACGAAATAAAAGATCTTTACTACGAGCAGCTAAATGATGAATACGAGCGCCTACCTAAACGTGATGTAAAAATAATAATGGGTGATTGTAATGCTAAAGTGAAAAAAAAAGAACCTCTGAACACTGCAGTATCTGGTAACTATAGTAAACACGAAGTAATAAACGATAATGGTCAAAGACTTATTGGATTCGCCATGGAGAAAAACATGGTGGTGAGAAGCACACAACTAAAACGAAAAGAGATATATAAAGGTAAGTGGGTCTCCCCTGATGGAAGGACGGTGAATCAAATAGAACATGTTATGATTGAAAGTAAATATACGAATATCATTTAGAAGGTAAGAAGTATAAGAGGAGCTGAAATCGACTCGAGACTAAAAGAAGTCAGAAACTAACTACTATGTCTAAAATAGTTTTGTTGATAATTGTGATGAATATAGTAGTGACATTAAGGTCTTTTAGTATTACGTCTTTTATGTTATCTTGCGCAATTTATAAAGGATATTTTTCTTCGTATCTGATTTGGGTATATCGACGTATTCCATCTTTGCATACACCACTCTTGGTGATACAAAATTTAAATAATTAAATTTTCTACACACTAAGCATGCTGCCATGTTTTGCACTTTTGGTTGATTATTTCTCTTTATATTCAAAACGTTTCCTAAATATTTATTTTTAAACCATGTTCTTGATATACCATATCCAGTCTGCAATTGGTCCTGTTTTTCTGTTAAAGACGCTTCTTCTTCTTTGAGTGCCTCTCCTATCGGAGATTGGATATCATTAGGGTGATTCTGATTTTATTTACTCCTGTTTTGAATAATTCATTGGTGGTACAGCCAAACCACTCTCTTAAATTTCTCATCCAGGACATACTTCTTCTTCTTAACGTGCCCTATCAAGTCCCCTTGACGTTGGCGATTAACATGGCGAAACTGTCTCTGTCTTGATCTATTCTAAATAGTTGCTCAGCTTTCTTTATTCCTGTTCACTCCCTGATATTCTTCAACCAAGAGGCCTGCTTTCTACCAATTCCTCTGCTTCCTTCGATTTTACCCATCATAATAAGTTGAAGAATATTATATCGGTCTCCCCTTACTACGTGTCCAAAATAGGCCATCTTTCTACATTTGATGTTATCAAGCAGCTCGCGAGCAGCATTTGCTCTCTCAAGGACTGCCACATTTGTCAGCATAGCCATCCATGGAATTTTTAGTATACGTCTGTGCAGCCACATTTCAAAGGCTTCCAGACGATTAATGGTGGATATTTTTAATGTCCATGCTTCGACACCGTATAAGAGGACTGACCAAATGTAGCATTTAACCATGCGCTTTTGAAGTTGAAGTTGCAAGTTATCATTACAGAAGAATGACCTCATTTTTAAAAATGTCGTGCGGGATGTCTCGATTCTACATTTTATCTCTTGATCTGGTTGACATTCTTCTACTGCCTGGATTTCTGCGTCCTTGGATTTTTCCTTGCATTATATTTTTTAGGTATGTGTACTTTTGTCTTCTCATCAGGTGGTCTAAGTATACAAGTTTTTCCTTTATTATATTCAGTATAACTTCTGGATCGTTATCGATTCTGCATATTACTCGTTCATTTGTAATTTTATCCACCCAACTTATTTTTAGTATACGGCGGTAGCACCACATTTCTAAGCTTTCAAGATTTTTAACATTCCTCTGTTTAAGAGTCTATGCTTTACCATCGTAAAGCAAAGTACTAAATACATATTTAGTATTTATATAGTATATATTGAATACATATGGAAACGCTAATACTACGCTATCCTAAGCGTATTGAAAGAAAAGTCAGAAAATAAGTAAGTTGAAGTAAGAAGCGAAACGAAACTAAAATATTGGATTTACGAAGTGGAAATTGTAATGTCAATAAACGTACTTTAACCTTTAATTGTGGCTCATTCCCATGTAAATAGTAATTACTTTATAATATTGGAAAAGGTTCAGGAGAAAATAATAGAAAAAATTGACCTAGAAAATAAAAACAATTTATAGAAATGTGGCTAATATTATTAGAAATACGACAATTAAAAATAATTGAAAAATGTTTAGAAACAAGTTTGAGAATACAGAGATTTAGTGGTGATCAAACGAAAAAAAAAAAATAAAGAAGAGTACAAAGACCTGACGAGAGACACGCTCATGCAGAATATTTCTGTAAAGAGGATTGATAAATTTAATTAGTAAGACCAACCGCATACAGGTATAAAATCAAAGAGAATAATAATAATGATGATCAGCCTATTGAAAGATGCTTAGTTTTATTTCTGGTAATATTGTTTCGCCTTACCACTACTTAAAAACTTGTCGTTTACTGAGCTCTCCAAAATTTAAGAGGACTTCAAAAATGAAATTAAAACAACTAAAAGAAAATCTAAAACAGAATACTGTTAAAATTTGAATACTGAAATATTTGAATTACATACAGAATAATACTAGAGATAATTAGAGTAAGTGGTATCCTACAGCAGTAGAGACATAACTTAAAGAGGAAAGTGTTTAAAAGGCAATATCTCGAAAAAGCTTGAACAAGGGGCATTATGTATGATAAAAAATGTGCAGTATAATTAAAAAGTAAATTATATAAGATTGCCATAATAGCAAATATGATGTACGTTACTGAATATTGAGCAGAAAAGAACAAAGAAAGCACGTTTCAAAACTGAAGATAATTATATAGACTCAAATTTATCATTTTACAATTCAAAGATGAAATGCATAAATGGAATACTGAACAACCGGAGTTCCGGATGGAGGTTTTTAGCATAAAAACAAAAAAGACGGCACAGAAAACGTGACATCTGAAATAAATTTTTAAATTCTGTATATAACGTAAACTTTTGTTCTGTTATCGTAACTATGGTCACCATTTATTCAGTATTCTACACTGAATCATAATTAATTAAAATCAGTGGCATCTGGTGTTCAGTTTTTTCATGGTGGCACTGTTTCGAGAATAAAAAATAGATAGAAACTTACCCAAACGCATATTTCTTAAAATGAAACTCAATCCTTCTGTTTTTTTAAACAATCCTTTCCATCACCATTACGTTAAGGTCAGAAACTTCTCCAATTAATGGTTTTTCTATGGACAGCATAGTAAGCGCTGTCATTCTTTCTTTTAATATTGTATTTCTTAGAATCGTCTTCAATAAATTCCAAGTAGAGGAATATGGTAAAAATATATATATGCAGTTTTCATTAGCATCGTTTTTAAAATAATCAAAACTTAACTTTACGATATGTTCACACTACTATCTTGCTGTACGTGGTGCAAGACCGCATTTGCCGCGCAATTTATCTATAATTTTTGACAGGATGTAGTGGTTTTTTTACACCATTTCGTTGTGCATACGAATGTTTTTGATATATACACTACTTAAACCAGAAGCGATGTAAGTTGTGGTTTGAAGCTAGAAGCTTACAATATTGCTCATATCTTGTTTTGAGTTTTCGCGTTTTTACCTTTTCACCCAAAACGTTTAAAATTAAGTACATCTCTTTTTCAGAGAAATGATAAAGGTGATACTTTGATGAACTACCTAGAAGAAAAGCATCAATACGCAATGAACTCCTTTTACAAAAAGAAGCCCCAACGAAAGTGGACATGGATCAGCCCTAATGGATCCACAAATAATGAGATCGACTTCATACTGTCCACGGAACGATATATCATTAAAGATGTAACAGTTCTTAACAGATTCACAACAGGTAGCGATCACAGGATGGTCAGAGCAAAAATAAGTATTGACGGTAACTATGAGATGAAAAGAAAAATAAGTAGAAACTGGAATCTAGTAGATAGAAAGAAACTAGGGCAATATAAAGAGATATACAAAGACCTATTAAAAGAACAACTTACCCAAAGATTAGACAGTGACGATAAAGATATAGACGAAATAGACAACATACTTACAGCAACAATGATTACATCAGGAAAAGAAATAGCAAGGAAGGATCTAAAAAAGAACACCTATATATCAACAGAAACAAAGAAGCTTATGGATAAAAGAAGGAAGCTGACCGAAGAAGGCAAAAGGAAATCTATAGAATATGTAGAAATTAATACAAATAAACAATAAGCAGAATGATAAAAGAAAATAAGAGAAAAGAACAAGAAATAAAAATAGAAGACGTAATACAAAACAACGAAAATATGAAATGCTTAAGGCCGAAATTAGATAAGTTTGAAATAAACAAAATAAAAGATGTAAATGGAATAGAAACAAATGTTAAAGATGACATCATAAATATAATCCATTATTTCTACTCAGAATTATATAAAACGAAAAAGAACCACCAGAAGAATTTAAAAACCAACTTAAGGTCAAAATAAAAAATGTCAACTCAGAGGAGTTGAGAAAATAGATGGAATAACTGCAGAGATGGTGAAATACGGCGGAAAAGTGGTAATTAATACTCTACATTCCCTTTTAACAAGATATTAAAAGAAAAAAGAATCCCAAACAACTGGAAGGAATCAGTAACCATTATCCTACACAAGAAAGGGGATAAAGCAGATATAAAAAACTACCGTCCTATAACACTCCTTAATGTAATGTATAAACTCCTAACAAAAATTTTAACCAATAGATTGACGACAAAATTCGATGGATACCAGTCGAAAGAACAAGCTGGTTTTAGAAAGGGATTCAGCACAAGTGACCATTTACTAAGTATGAAAATACTTATATAACGAGCAAATGAATACCACATCTCTCTATATATGGCGTTCATAGATTTCGAAAAGGCTTTCGGCAGTGTCGAACATTGGGCAGTGAAAAGTTCTTTGATTAACAGCCGAATTGACCACAGATATACGGAATTAATAACCAATATATATAAGGAAGCCAAAACAACAATTAAAGTATATGAAGGAAAAAATCATTACAAATAAGTAGTGGCGTGAGACAGGGTGATACAATATTACCGAAATTTTTCAATCAGGCTCTTGAAGATACTTTGAAAAGATTAGAGTGGGAAAAAAAAGGTATAAAAATTTGTGGACAACGCTTGAACCATCTAAGGTACGCTGATAACATCGTATTAATAACCGATAAAAAAGAAGAATTATTTGAAAGGATGAAAGAACTGGACGTAGAAACTGGAAAGATAGGCCTTAATATGAATTACAGCAAGACCAAAACTATAACAAATACAGATGAAGACATCACAATGAGAATCGGACAAGATGAAATAGAACAAGTTAATGATTATATATATCTTGGTCAAACTATAAAACTTAACAAAGAGAACCAAACAGCAGAGATCAAGAGACGAGTTAGACTGGCATGGGCGGCATT